AAACACAGGAAAAATATCCAAAAGTACAATTTTTTTTCAGTTTACACGACTCAATCTTTAAAAACTACTTCATTCTGAGATGTTAATGGTTCTTTTATTTAATAATAATTTTAATAATTTAATAAAGACCAGTATGCTTATAAAGATTCAGTTTGTTTTTGTTTGTTTTTTAAATGTGAAATCTTTTTTGGGGGTTTCTTTGATTATTATTTTCATTATTACATAAAAGCGGTCAAAGATTGACTTTTTTTACTTAAGAAAACTGTGAAAAACAGAAGCTTTGATGGCAAAAAGCAGCGCTATCTGGTGTACACATAAAAAACAAAAAAACAATGGAAAGTTAATATTTTGCTTGATGACAGAGCTGTCGTTAAATATGTTCCATATTTCCTTCTCAGCGAGAGATCAAAATGATGGATAATGTGACTGAAACTGTTTTGGTGTAAAAATGTTCAATAGAACTAAGAGAAGCTGACAGTTAGTGAGCGATCCACACAAAAAACGATGTCCACTTTTCGTTTTAACAGCGGCTCGTCTGAAGTGTCTGAACTGCAGAAATAAATTCCTATTATAATTTTAAAAAAATTAAAAAATGTATTTGACTTCTAGAAGGACATAAAGTCGGTCGTCTGTGATTAAGAGATGAAACCAGAGACATTTCGGGTTTTTTAAAGGTTAAAAATCATCAAGATTACAGCTGACTATGCATTTTTAAATGCGTTTCTCCAACAGCAAAGTGCATCTTAAAACGATTTCAACCACACCATTAATTGTCCCAACACTCATTCGGCCTATCTTTGTTTCTATTATGTCCAAAATTCTGACTCTCAGGCAACTTTTAAGGCCATTTGCCTTCATTTTTAAACAGAATAACCCCCAGTGACTGCTTGCTTTGCGGGTGGGTAATATTCTGCTTATATATTATTATATATTCCCTTAACCCTTAAGTGGGGGCCTGTGAGCTTTGGGCTGATGGATGATGTTAGTTAGTTAGATGTTGGTGTCTGGATGTGTTGGATCTGTGTGGTCTGTCACATTAGGGCTGTTGTCGTAATTGGAGGTAACAACAGGTGAGACGTCCCCGTTTCTCTTCTGTTCACAAATCTACAAAAATAGAGCTAGGTAAATATTACACAACAGTAAACATGTTCTTTTTTCCTTTTTTAAAACTTTTTTGTTGTTGTTGAACCTCTACACAAAACCAAAATTCTTGGTCTTAACTCATTCGCTGCCAAAGACGTCTATAGACGTCTTTTATGTTTTTAACGAGAGTGGCTTGGGGGACGATCTGCTAAAGCTTGTCCGTAAATATCAGGCTTCTAGACAGAGTATGTAGTAACAAATTGACCCTCTAGGTGGCAGTGCCACTTTTGATGGGAGATGAGCATAGACTGTAGGCAAATAAAAAAAAACGTAATGGTTCGCTATGAGAGAACATGTCGCCGGTGAGACGCAAGTCGAGGAAAAACGGAATAAGGTAGAAACAAATTTCCTGATGAAAGAAGAGAGTCTACTCTTTCTTTTGGTGTGTTCGGTGTTTACATAGTCATAGCACAAACTATTCTGTGGCTCTTGAAAAATCGGTCAAAATGCTCGAAAAACTCTGGCAGTATGGGACTCTGTTCTGAAAATGGCTGGCAGTCAATGACTTAATGGCTAGCAGGAGTTTTTGTGTGAGTATCTGTTTAGAAGATGTATCGGTGTCGGCGGCGTGATTTGGGGGTGATGAGGCTTTCCAGAGGAGGCTGTAACGGTTTTCTGTGGGGGAGATGCAGCTCCACCAGCGGCCAGCAGAGGGCGCCGTGGCGGCAAACAAACGCCACATTAGAACGTCTCTGTTGTGAACTCACCGGGGGCGATGGGTCCCTTACTCGTAAAACAGCCGACTCACAACACACTACAGACCCCCCCCCCACACCCCCAAATATCCGCCTGCCCAGCTGAACCTGTTTTAGTTTAAATATGTTCAATAGAACTAAGAGAAGCACCCGGTCTGTGACCACCCAGACAACAATGTCCACTTAAAAAAAAAAACATTTTTTAACAGCGGCTCGTCTGAAATGCAGAATTAATTGAAAAAAAAAGAAAAAAAAAAAAAAGAAGATATTTGACTTCACATCAGACCCCACATCTGGTGACACCTCTGCCGCCCAACATCTGGCCCCCCGTTCCCCCCCGAGGACGCCTCAAACCAGCCGTAGCATTCCCCAAATCCCACAAGGGAGGAGGTTATAAATAACTGAGCCCCCCCCCCAC